GGTGGAAAAGTTGTAATAAGTATCAATCAAGATAAAAACCAAAGGTTAATGTCCATATAAGCCAGGAAGTTAAATGGGTAAAACTACTCTTAATTTTCTTTCTTTATATAATTAATTCTAAGTCAGCCAACAACAGAGAAAGGGATCTAAGGTGACTTTAAATTAAAGTGATTCAAAACATATCATAATTAATAAATGCATCTCAAGTCCATGTTTGTAGACTGCATGCACTGCCTAATTTGTGGGATATGGACAATAATATGTTGTCTTGCAAGTAATTGTATAAATTAGAGATTCTATCTTACATAGAATAATATGAGTATGGTGGGAAAAAGAAGTGGGTTGCTTTGTGCTTTGTGCCTTACTATTAAACAACATTGTGGATTAAACAAAGCCACAATGACCATGGCATATGGAAGACTGCAATTTCAAATATAAGAGGAATAATGGTATGAGAAAAGGAAAAGGGGGTTAATGTCTGAAAGTAACTGAAAGGAAAAGAATTATAGATGTGAATGAAGCTAGCCTAATCTTATAAAGTGAATACATGTAAAGAAACGAAATTTTGATTTTAATAGAAAGGACTTAAATGTATGTAAGAAGTATGTAATTGTGTCATCTAGGTGGTTGGGAGCATGTATGAAAATAGGAATTGACAGATTGGTGAAAGTTGAGTTTTGCTGCACATAGAACATAATGGAAGGATGAATGTTGGAAAAATGCAACGTTTTGAATTAACATGTTCCATTCCAGGGAACATCATTCTGTTAGTTGGAATGAAGGGGAACTTGTTGAGAAAGTACAGAAGAAACAATTTGGTTATTTGAAGATTGAAGAACGTGAATGGTGACTCTTTGAATTTCCATTTCTAAAACATGGCTTAAGCCTAGGTACATTCTTTTCATATATGTACCTGAAGAAGGAATCACAGTAATCAAAAGGCATAATTAATTCCTTATCTATAATGAAATAGTAAAAGAATCAGTGAAGGTTTAAAAGTACAGTAAGTTCTGAATGTGGGAGAAATTATAACCAGATAGTTCCAGGAAACCAGGATAGTTTTGTGGGAAAAAGTAAGTGTGAAAGAAAAAGAAAGATGTGAAAGAAACTAAAATGGAAATAGAAGCAATGTATGAAAAAGTACAGCAAGATAAATTAATCCTCCAAGATAATTAATGCAAAGTGGATGTAAAAAAAGAAGATATGGAAGCATTTTGAAATACAGTGAGAAGAATCATTGCAGACAGCTACAGGGAAGTGTAGAGTTACTCTAATGGAAAGTATGAAAAAATAAGCTTGATGTGATGAAGGTGTTACAAAGAGGTGTTACATTCATGCTTCTGTGTGCTTCAAAGCACCTCTTGGAGATAGTGTTTTACAACCCTGCTCTGTGTGTGCGTGTGCGCGCGCGTGCGTGCGTGCATAGAAGGGAGGGAGGGAAATTGTCTTTCCTAAAACAATAGAATTTTGCAACAGTTTATTTTACATTTAACTTCTGGAGTTATCTGATTAATGAACTGGGTAATTAATAAAGTGGCTGATTAATCTGGAGCATCCACGGAGTCATTGAGAGTTGGGTGATAGACAAGAAAAATTGCCATTGATAGGGCTGCATGCAAGGACAGACACTATTTTCTCTGCCTTTTTCACATCTTTGGAGCTGTAAAGTAATATAATAATTTATTATAGATAATTTGGGCAGATAATTGGCTGGCTTTTATTAAATTTGACTAAAATCTAGTAATTATTTACATTTTTTATTTATTCATTTCTATCACTTAACAAGTTCTGTCTCACATTATAATGCTGTCTAAAAAACACAAATCAACCCATAGGTTGATAAGCCTTAAAATAGCTTTATGGCCCAGATAGTTGAAGTCTGAAAAGCTGGTCAATGCTTTCCCACATGATGAAATGCTATCAAATCAGGGGCCATCTTGTGAATTCAATTATTCCAGAAGACTGGGACCCTCCTTTAAGAGAGGGGTGTCAAACCCGTGTTGTCATGGTGTTGTCATGTGACATATTGAGACTTTTCTCCCCTTCACTAAACTGGGGATGGGCATGGTCACCACATGGGTTTGGGTGTGCCCAGCATGTGATGTATCTGGCCCACAGGCTGCAAGTTTGACAGCTGTGCTTTAAGGTGACACAGTAGTTAGAGTGAAGCATTGCAGGCAAACACTGCCCGTAGTCAGGAGTTTGATCCTGAATGGTTCAGGGTTGACTCAGCCTTCCATCGTTCTGAGGCCGGTAAAATTGGGATCCACTTTATTGGGGGCAATATGCTGACATTGTAAACTGCTCAGAGCACTGTGGAGCGATATATACTGTATAAATACTATTGCTACTGCTATTCTGCTTCTGGCCTTTCATTCTCTTAAATATTCAAAGATGGGAGACCTATGACATCCCCTTCAAAGCTGCACAAACAAGAGGGTGTTTGTCTGTTTAGAGGATGTGTATTTATTTATATTTATATTTCACATTTCTGGATTACCCATCTCCCTCAAAGAGACTCATGCCACATATGATTAAAGATTAATGGCAGCGCTTCTCCCTGTACTGAGAAACTTACCAGCCACCAGTACAATTGGGTGAAGCAGGTGAACTGCTGCCTTCTGTATCTACTCCTATTTACATCTATAAATGCACAACCCAACCGCTTCCAGGATGGGTTTCTTGTGAATCTCCAAAGCTATCTTAAATAAATGCCATATTAAATAGGAGCAGGCTCTGAAAATCCAGTTCGTGTTTGAGAATGCCCAAGCTTTTAAAATGCTCCCAAATCCCTTTGGCTTGCCATTAGCTCACTTGCGCTGATATTACAAGAACTTGAAAACAAGAAACAGTCTCTGAGGCTTTAGAATTTGAACTTCATCTCCACCTGAGTTGGATGACTCAGCCTTGATACAGTTTGGTTCAATAATCTTGGGACCTCTGAATCGGCATGCGCAAAATTATCTGCCCGTTTCCAAGATGCACTGTTAGTACTACTTTTTATAAAACCCATTACAGTGTTTGCATAGGTGCAAAAAGTGCTGGTTTTTTTCACCATCTTGTAAATGAGTACTGGTCTTATGAATCCTTGGCTTATTTATGGCTGTATAATAAGCTCATAATTAAGTGATGTCCTGAAGTGGAGTGTTTTAGGCTCTTGCTCTGAACTCTCAGATTACATCCCCCTGTGTAGTTTTAAACAGATTTGGCTATTTCAAGAGTCAGTAGGGAAATGAATGACTTTCTAAACAAAAGACAGATGGACTTTCCATTCTGATGTTGACAGGGGTGAACAAATCAACTCTCCTAAAATTCCTTGTGGTCCTAAGAACTCTTAATGGGAAGTTTGAATATTCACCAGCACTGCTTAGGTCCATGATGTCCTCTTTACGTGTAGTATTATACTACTTGCAAACGGAAATTGGCAGAATGCTCATGTAAAACTCATAATCAGAAAATAAATTGCAGTCTACTGATAGATTTGCACTGTATTACCCAGATGGCAAAGCTGCTGTTTAGAAGTGTGTTACTTTTCACCAGCTCTTGTAATTCTGACAACCAGGTTCAAAGCAGTGGTATGGTGGTCTATTCTTTGACAACGAAAATACAAATCTGTACAACTTCCCATTCCTTGTGGGTTTTTTCCTTCTTTAAAAAATATCTTTATTGAAAGAATATCTTACAAAGATTTTTAAAATTACAGAAACCTACAAGACGAAGTAAAAAGAAAAAGAAAGGGTGATGGAAAAAGTGAAGAAAAACAAAAAAGGAAAGAAAAAGACATTTAAAATAACGACTTCAGTCTTCTTTGCTGCAGTTAGAAACACAAATCTTTTAAATACTTTTTAACCAGTAAATCTCCAAATCCCCACTAGATTTTTATTCATCTTCAGCCAAAAATCCATAAAAGGTCTCCAATTTTTTTTAAATAAAAGTGGTTCCTACTTAATCAAAACAAATCAATTTAGCAATTTCTGCAAACTCAGCTATCTTGACAACCCATTCCTCCCCTACTGCTGTTTCCATAGTTTTCCATCTTTGTGCCTATAAAAGCCTCACTGCAGTTATATATAAAACTAATTGTTCAGGAGATTTTTTTAAAGTTGACTGTCCATAAATCCTAATCAGAAAAGTTCTGCTTTTATCTGAAATTAAAATTTTTAGAACTCCATTATATCAAACATTTTTTTTGCTTTTTCATAAGTCCATCATACATGATAATATATCCCTTCGTGTTTTTCATATTTCCAATGATGATTAGATTACTTTTATACTTATTAGATAATTTCTCTGATTGCATACACCAACAGTATACCTGTTACTGCTGGCTGAATATAAAGACAGACAGACAAACTCTACAAAGGCTTCCATACAAAGTTTCTTTATTGGATCACAAGGCATTCTCAAGGTATAACTCATGGTTATGTCGAGATCCATCTTAATGTCCAAATCTTTGCATAGTTGACTTCATAGTGTGAAAATATAGTGATCTTCATCCCATAATGATGGAGCAAAGGGTGAGACACCAGCACGATGCTGGGGTCCAAGCAAGAGTAAAGGAAACTCCCCCAACCCGACCAAGGATCAATTCAGTGACTGATCAGGATTACAAATGTGACCACATGACATGAGCTACATTTCCCATGATGCATTAACTACATTTACCATGAGGCATTCCCTTAAGGGGACAGCTCCCAATTCCTACTTATCTATCCCAATTCCCAATGAACTATATACTGTCTGGACAGCACAATACCATTTTTAAAAAGTGTTATCCAAATTGTAAGATAATGTGAATTTCAGGCCTTACCAGTGGTTAGAGTGCAGTACTGTAGGCTACTTCTGCTGACTGCCGGTTGCTGCAATTTCGCAGTTCAAATCTCACCAGGCTCAAGGTTGACTCAGCCTTCCATCCTTCTGAGGTGGGTAAAATGAGGGCCCAGATTCTTGGGGGCAATATTCTGACACTGCTCAGTTATATACCTCTTTACAACTTATATTTAATTTTGGGGTTTTTTTTTCTCCTGCCTTCTAAAGCTGGGTATTTCGTTTGCACTGTTCAAATGGTACATCAGTTCTCAAAAGAAGGTATTGTCTGACATAAGAATAACATTCTAGCTAATGAAGACATTCTTCCCAACAGTGATATTTGTCATTTTTCTCACATTAATAAATCCTATTTAATTTAATTTCATTCCATATTTTATTTTGAAATAACTTACAAGGCATGGTAGTAATAGTAATACCCAAATATTTCCCTTTTTCCCCAATCCAAAATCTAGCGTTTATAGATAATTCCTTTTGCTCTTCCATCTTTATATTCTTTGTCAATATCTTTATTTTTTCCTCAGTTTTAAATCCAGTCAATGCACCACATTCCAAGATTTTTTCTTTAATATAGCTGTCCCTTTTAGGTGGTCTCCCAAAATTAAAGTCAAATCATTAGCAAAGGCGGCCTTCATTTATACACTTAAAAAAAAAACTTTCACTCCGATAATTTTGTTATCTTGTCTTTTGGCATTATTTGAAACATTAAGACCCAGAATGAATAACTATGCAAAAAGTGAGCTTTCCTGCCTCGTTCCTTTTTGTATTTGACAAGGCTTGATCAACCTTCCTCCATATTTATTTGTACAATTTGTAAAGTATGTATCAATTGAATCCATGTAATAAAGTTGTCTCCAACGTCTGTATCTTCCAAATCCGAAAAGTCCATTTTAAATCGTCAAACATTCCCTGTGTTGTAAATTGGCTGTACATTAATTAGTTCCATTCTTTTTCCCAAAATTTTTCATTCAGTTTCTCCATCTTCTTTTTGCACTTGACTCTGGTTGAGAGACTTTGAGGTTATAGTAAAAAGGAAAAAGAAAAGAAAGAAAGAAAAATAAATCAACCACATCAAAATAAATCAAAATAAATTAACCATACCTGTTAAAGTATGATGTTTCTGATGTACAGTTTTGTGACTGAATCATTTCTGATTTCATCACTTATTACTTAAAGTTAAAAAATAATAGTTTTAAACACTTCTTTTATTTGATTCCTGGAATATATATATTACTGCAAAGCTTTTTATAACCAACTGCCTAGAAAAGGGAAAATGAGTAATGCTCTTACCTGATTACCTGAAACGCAAATAAGTTTGTGCTGTCTAATCAGATGCTCTTATCTTCTTGGAAACATTAAGGCTTGTTATTTATTTAAAGAAGTACAATTGTTGTACTCACATGCCAATTTTTTGAATTGAGACAAAATAGGTTCATAAAGGTCATAGTAGATTTGTTCAGGTTTGCTGTTGTTTCGAATAAACAGAAGATCTTCCACAGTAACTGGATCAGTCTTCCCTTGCCACAAAGTCAGGCTGTATCTAGAAACAGAAGATACTTGGGCCTTGAAAGAGATTTTCAGAACTTACGTAGTTGCCTCTCTCTCTCTCTCTCTCTCTCTCTCTCTCTCCCTCTCTCTCCCTGTCCCACTCCTTTTCTCCCTCTCTCCCTCCCTCTCTCCCTCCCGGCCTCCCTCCTGCCCTCCCTCTTTCCCCTCCTTCCCACTCTCTTTCTCTCATACACACACAGTGAGAGTGACTTTGATTTAATCATGATTTGTTGAACAAACTACAGTCAGTCTTGCAGATGAGAAAGCAATAATGGCTTGTTCTGCCAATTCTGATTTATTCTTTATTCTTCTTCAAGTATCTGGGAGAAACCAATTCTGATTGAGCGCTTTCAATCCAGATGTGTTGGGATCACCAATTCCAGAACTTTCATTCAGTCTGGTCACTTGGCTAAGAATTCTAGGAACCATTCTTTCATTACTTGTAAAGTACAGACATGAGGGAGGGAGGATGGTTTGAATACATCAAGATACAGCCATGCTATCAAAACTCTCACCTTTTGGATTGACTCAGAAGCCAACTCAGATGAGTCCAGGCTGGTTTTACCATGACAGCTCTTACAGGGAAGGTGATTTGCTGAGGGAGGTTTCCCACAAGGGAATGCATTTCTTCCACCATCCTCTGCGTATAGGTCTTGTTTGGAAAGTGAGCTAAATAGAGGGTTGTCCATCCCGGAGAAAGAGTGCAGTTTGGAAACTTCTCCTGAATGAGAGTCAGGAATCTAAGAAGCAATCGGTAACAACCATGTAGTCACAGTTCCATATGCATTAAAAGAAGAAAGCCATTATAAGCCTTCTCCATACTGGACTAGACATGATTTTATGAACAGTATGTCCATTGGACAATTTGATTTAGAAATAACATTTGATATCCAGAGACTCAGTCTGGCTCCAAGTGAATTTCTATTGACAAGGTATGGACTTGAATTGACATCTTCCTAGCTAAAATCTAGAAAGCACTATAGAAAAGTTTATCAGTGTGCAGGGACAACTTACTCACATGATAAATCCACAATTTCATTTGGAGAAAACAGATTTGGCATGTGCTTTGTGGACATCTCATGTGACTTTCTGACTGTTGCAGCCAAAGTGTCTGGTACATCCTGGCACATGTACATTTCTAATCAAATCTGCCAATCTGCTATCTCAGATCTTTAGGACAACTTCATTAAAGATTAGGTTTATTATCTTGTTATTCATCAGATGTAAACACAGTAATCTGTTACTTGTCTTAGATAAGGGCTACAACAAGAAAAGTTAATGCCTCTTATAAAAGAATATTTTCTTAATATATAGCATCAGGAAAGGAGGAGTCATAGCTCAGGGATGAGAAGTCATAGATTCAGTCCTGGTTTATCATAATAGATTACTGCCATTCAAAGGTTCATTGACTAACTTCTTTTTAAAACGCGGTATCAAATATTTGGGTTATGCCTCGTATCTCCAGCTAATGAGTCTAAAGGCACCAGAGTGGGAAAAAAGGCTATTATAGATAGGATTGTGGTCAATGAACCAATAATTTGTCTTGGCTTAAGGTGGCTTTTTATGGTCCTTGGAAATAAGTAATGTGATACATACTTTTATATAAATATAAGAGAAGTTCATTTTACTCACTGGCTTGCATTAACTGCAATATCAATAGGAACATTTGGCCCTTTCAGAATATCTGCGTTTAGCCAAACAGGTCGGTCAATATTCAACTCCGAAGACGTTTTTAGTAAGATATCCAAAGATGGACCCACTGTCTTGATGTTTTTGAAGTCTAGCTTGATCACTACCGGCAAGAAGAAGAAATCCTTGAAAAAGCTTTATTTCTTTTCCCCATTCATTCCAATTGATGTCTCTTTTTTAATAGCAGTGTTATACCTTTATCAGATAACCTGAGCACTGTCGTTAGCCAATTCTGAAGTGTATTGTCACTGTAGATGACAGGGGGGTGGGCCATAATCGGTTTCTCTGTCTCATTGGGCGTATTGTATCCTTCAAGGGTGACGTCAGATTCTAGCGCCATGATATCAGCTGTCCTCAGAGAGAAGGAGAAAAAGAGAACATTGAAAAATGAAGGGAGGCTTTTCATGGAAATTCCATTGGAGCAACTTATATGCATAAAAATTACCAAGGATTTATTTCAAATTTGAAGACCTGGGAAGGGATGGGAACAAGGATTAAAGTAGTGCTGTGCAGCAAATCATCTGTAATTTTTGTTAACATGCAGCTCAGAACTTTTATGGGATTCCCTAAGGATTTTGTTTCAAGAGACAAGAACAAACTCAGTGAAATTCTCATAAATGATGTCTGATAGTTCTGTACTTATTGTTACAATTTTGTCCAATAACTCATCACATTCTACCATCATCTCTCCAACAATCTGTAGCCTTCCTGACTTCCATACCTCAACTGAAATCCAAGGGATATCACAATAACAACACTTTTGCCATAATCTTCTTCAGATTGAAAATGTGGGCTAATTCTAAGCCAGTTCCAACAATAAATAAGCCCAGAAACATTACCAAGAAAAATTCAAAGGATATTCTCAAACATTGAACAAGAGAGAGGGAGGGAGGAAGGGAGGGAGAGAAATTTTTTGTGAGGGGCTTTTGAGAAATTGCAAGCAGATTTTGGCATATCAAATCTCAGGTTTGGTTATTAGCATCACTGCACAGGGCTGAAAATATTATTGAGAACATTAATAAGTTAGATAAGTCAATGACCAATTCAATGTAAAGTAACTTCTTACTTGTCCATAGATACTATATAAAGTCTGTGCTTCTCTTTCAACTTTTATTTTTGGCTATTTTTAAAATGAAAAAAATCAGCACACATGAGGCAAAAGATGGCACAATTTTCTAAACGTAAAGTGACTGGCAATTTTTGGGATGCATAAAATTAACAAGCTGTGAAGAAGTTTGGAGCTATGGCTCTATGTCCATGATGGCAAACCTATGGAGCATGCCAGAAGTGGCACTCAAAGCCCTTTCTGTGGGCATGTGCACCATCGCCAGCTGTTCTTCTGGTTTCTGGCACTCCAATGCACATGAAGGCCACCTGTCCGGCATGTGTTTGTGCACCGGTCAGCTGGTCTTCAGGTTTCAGCACTCCGGCGCGCACGCACATACTCACACTTTCCAGTTTGGGCACTCAGTGTCAAAAAGGTTCGCCATCACTGCTCTATACTTTTTTGTGCAAAGTAGAGTTTCTTGTTTTCCTATTACAGTAATATAGTCGAGCAGTAAAGTACATGGTGACTGTATTATTTTTTTGCCCTTGTGTGGTGCTTTATATATAAAACAGAATTTCTAACACTTTTCCATCTGCTCCCCAAATGATTTGGGGGAGGGGGGTTAGCCAAATTATGGAGGTATGACTATTTAAAAATTATACACCAGACACATGCTTTGGGGATTTTTTTTCATTCTAAATCTCAGTACAGTTTTAAACTCCAGTAATTTCCTAAGTAGGTAAAATTATGTTAATTTTCTGCTTGCATTGGATTTTTTGATTCCTCTCATTGGGCATCTCTGTAATCTTGCTAGGTAATCGTCATCCGAATAACACTTTGTACCATATCTATTATATGAATAGGGAATTTCAATTGTTCCTGTCCCACAATAATTCGTCAATTCTTCATAAAATATGTGATTTTCTTCATACTCAAATAAATGTTTGATTTGTTTCAAAAGGTTTAATACATAAATTTGATAAACAAGGCATAGGATTCTACCTTCCTATAACTATGACAAGGTGGTAAGTCATTTCAGGCAATTCCATACAAAATGCAGTGTTTTGCATACTAGATATTTGTAGAGTACAACTAAAACCATTCACTTATCGTTATCATTCCAGTTTAATCAGGGGTGGGATTCTACCAGTTCACACCTATTCACTAGAACCGGTTGTTAACATTCTAAGCAATTCGGAGAACCAGTTGTTTGAAGAATTTACTGGCCTAATCCTGTAAGGAAGGTAGGAAGGAAACATTCTGGTGTTGCTTACAGAAACTGCCTCTCCATTAACTCTTATTACATCCTTGGCAGGACTAGACTTCCTGTCTCTGGAACTTCTCTGGAGTTTTTTCCCCCTCCTTTGCTGGAACTTTGCTTGTGTGGAGTGACCATTCAACATTACAATGGCACTGAAAAAAGTGACATGACCATTTTTCACACTTACGACTGTTGCAGCATCCCCACAGTCATGAGAGGCCAGGCGAGGAGACACATGCCTCGATATGAGTGATATTGAGTTGGCCATGCCCAGCCAATAACATGACTACTAAGTCACTCCCACCAACTAAGCCACACCCACAGAACCAGTTATTAAAAAATTTGAACCCCACCCCTGAGTTCAATCCATCTTTTTTCCTTATCACTGGAAGATATCAAGGACTTGACTAACAACAAAGAATGATTTGGATCATGTGTTAAAATTTAACAGAATTTTTAATTTATAATCCACTTCTTGGTGATTTAAAGAAATGTTCAGTCTTTATCTATAAAACTAAAATTAGACCAGAACATTTTTTAAAAAATGGTTTGTTTCTTATTGAAATAAATTTATAAAATATTGCAAGCATTGTGCCTATTAAATAATGTTTGTTACCAAAGGGTCTAAGAATTCAAAGCGTTGGATTCTTTTTTCAAATAGACAAAAGAAAGGGCATTTGTTTTTCAGGAAGCAAGTAGAACCAGTTACAATGTGCTTACTTAGTGCTACTAACCTGTTCAGTCAGGCATGTTGTTATTTGATGGTGAGTGACGTACTCCCAGTTCATTTATAATCTATTTCCACTACAATTGGAAGCAATTATAGCTATTAGGGTTGTAACTTTTGGAAATGTTTTCAGTGTAAGTGACATCACTTGCTAGCCTTCTCCTCCTCCCTGGAGCAATTTTGCACACATTTTATTATGCAGAAATAATTGGACCATGTACCACTTCACTTTTAAGGGAAAACAAAACTGGACAGCCTAGATAAAAGAAGGAGGAGTGGGACAAGGAAGACGGCCAGCTCAGTCTACCCTTTGATTTACAATAAGTTGTTGCTGCTGTTTTTCTTAGCATGTAATTCAATGATTGAGTGTTTACTTATTTTTGCAGCTCCCTCATCAATTCTTGCAATGAAATTTATCAATGAATGATGCAATAAGAAGGTTTATTTATCTGTTGGCACAGAACCCAATGCTGTTTAAAGCTAAAAAGAAAATTAAATTCACCCACGGTTATCTAACTATTTTGTGTATCCCAAAGAGGACTAGAACCTAGATTGCCAGCTCCTAGCACCTTAAATGCTACACCACAAATTGGAATGTATTCCACTACAGTTGCTGTGTACATAAGTACCTCCTCAGCAGGTTCTGTCCACTTCTATAGAACCAGTTGCTCTGAAGAGCAGCAAACAGAGAGCATACATAGAACTGGTTCTATGTTTGCTGCTGTTTTGGCCCACCCACCTGCCCAGGCTCTTACTTGACTTTTATTTCCTGTGTTTTCAACCGCAGCTGCTTTGCGCGACACAGCTGCAGTTGAAAAAGCAGGAAAAAAAGGCTTTTCCAACCGCTGCACACTTGCACATAGCGCTGCTCAGCTATCTAGGCAGTTCAGCAGCTCGTAAATTGCACATGCACGCATGACGCAGAGCGACAGAACCCGTAGTTATACCCATCGGATCCCCTGCTCCTCAGTCCTCACCACTTCTGTTAGAACCCCAATCAAGAACAGATTAGAGAGGAGACACAAAATGCCAGGTTGGTTGCTAGGCAGAAGGAAATGTTACATTGGGAGTGGTTGGGAAAAGAGTAGTTCAGGATAAAGAGAACAAAAACAAGAACTGGAGTAGTTGTGGGAAAAGATGGGATTGCTAAGAAAATGTTGGGTGTGTGGAACTAATGGAAGGTTGGAAAAATCATTGTATTTGAGGAGGAATGTGCAGTGGAGTGACTGGGAAATAGACAGGCAACACACCAGAGAAAGAAATTTGAGGAGCATCTGGGAGTTTCTAATTGTGGCATCTTGTCTGCTCAGCTCTGGCAGCACTGTTGGCATAGCAGTCACTTTAAATGCAGTGAAAACAGCCAATACACCCATGAACAAAACCTGGCCAATTATAATGGAAAAATGACAAAAAAAAAAAAGAGCAAAATTTGCAGGATTTATTCTGGTCCTAAGACTTATTTTTCTGTAGTGAGACTTTTTGTGTGTGATGATGCTTGTTTTGAAAACAAATTCAGGGTTCAGAATTCCCAAAATAGAAATACGGATGCTCTCTCTTTCTCTGGTATATCTAGACTTAAAATTTATAAACATATAGGATGTATTTAGAAAGAGAACTCACTGAGTTAAGTGGGATTTACTTTTGATCACATGTTGTTTGCTAAAGGTTCCCTTTGCACATGTATGCTAGTCATTTCTGGCTCTAGGGGGCGGTGCTCATCTTCCTTACAAAGCTGAAGAGCCAGCACTGTCCAAAACAATCTCCATGGTCATGTGGCTGACACGACTAAATGTTGAAGGTGCACAGAACGCTATTACCTTCCCATCAAAGTGATTCCTATTTTTCTACTTGCATTTTTACATGCTTTTGAACTGCTAGGTTGGCAGAAGCTGGGACAAATAACGGGAACTTACTCCGTTACACGGCACCTAGGGATTCGAACTGCTGACTTTTTTGATCGACAAGCTCAGCGTCTTAGCCACTGAGCCACCACATCCCTTATGTTGTTTGCTACCAGTGTCCATATTAGAGAGAAAGCACGGGTCTTACCTTTTAAGGCCTCTTCCATGTCATTCTTACTATTTGCAGCATGATACCAGGTAACCAACAATCCATCTTTTCTGTCTATTCTCTTCAGATTAAGCAAATAATCTAATACGTCTCCGCCTGAATAAAAGGAGGGCCTCGGTTCCATGTCTGAAAGATTCAATCGGGACATTGTACAAGAAATAAATAAATTCAATTCATACTAATCTCTAGTCCAAGATGAGGAACATTTAAGAAACATAACCACCTCTAGGGTATCATCAATATTTGGGACCTATTAACACATATAGGTAGTCCTTGACTTACAACTTTTTGTTTAGTGACCATTCAAAGTTACAATGGCACTGAAGACGATGAATTATGACTGTTTTTCACACTTACGACCATTGCAGCATCCCCATGGTCTCACAATTAAAATCTGGACTCTTGGCAACTGGCTCATATTTATGATGGTTGCAGTGTCACAAGGTCATGTGATCACTTGTTGTAACCTTCTGACAAGCAAAATCCATGGGGAAGCCAGATTCACTTAACAACTGTGTTACTACTTTAACTACTGTTGTGGTTCACTTAATAACTATGGCAAGAAAGGTCCTAAAATGGGGGAAAAATTCACTTAACAACTCTCTCACTTAGCAATAAAAATTTTGGGCTCAGTTGTAAGTTGAGGACTGCCTGAAGTTTCTTATCTTTGTTTATAGGAACAATGTTTCATTCTCTTCAGTCAGGAAAGAATATTCAGTGCTTTTTCTTCCCGTATAAGGTATGTTTCTGGAAACAAGCCTACATTTAGTCTTGTGTAGTTCAAATGCATGGAGAAATTACAAAGCTGGACTAACAATGAGAATATTACCTGGCTTAAGTGGTCCTATGTTTGGATTCTAAAATTGGCTTCATAAGACTTGGGTTTACCATAGTTCCTTCTGTACTCAGATTGCAAAGATTCAGAGCCTATGTAGCTCAAAGTGTAGCTACATAGGCTCTGAATCTTTAAACTGGATTGACTGAGAAAGAAACTAAGAACTCAAAGGAGCATTGTAGGTTAGTAGGATGTTTGCATGCAATCACTTTGCTTTATTTGCAAAATGTTATTGGATACAGATGGTTATGTCCTTCTTGTGAAACCCTCTAATCTTTACCTACAGTTTTCCCCGCTTACTTTTGTTTCCAGAAAAAAAATATTTTAAGGAGGAAATGATGAAATTGTTCAGGTATCTTCTGAAGGCACTCCTCCATCTGGAATCACTTTCACTGTGTATCTTTCTCCATGGTTGGTAGCTGAGTTAGTCTGTATATTCTACCAACGGACAGTTTCTATAGTTTCAGGTCATTTTCTTCATGAATTCAGCTCTAGGAGAGATTCTACAAGGCTATATACCATTAAACTGAAATAAGTCTTCTTTCTCTCAATGGGACATACCTTTAAATCTGTACCTTGTAGGAATATTTTACTGCAGATCTAAATCTAAAGTTAAATGGTATCTTTCATTATATCAATAGTTCAGTCCAATATACAATGGGAAAGTGTTCATATTGTACATAATTTTTTCATAGGATCATCTGCTAATCAAAATATTCTGTGAAATAGGAAACTTAGGCTCTGAACAAGATGCAAATTAAAACCAACAGTTAATAAAAATGGTGAGATTCAAAATAAAAGCATAGATCTCTAATACCAGCATTAGAAAAAATAAATAAATGAAACACATGAGAGTTTAAATGAGGGGGGAGATCTCCAACACCCCAACTGAGTCCTTGAAAACAAACGATATACCATGCCAAATCTTCACAAAGTTAATATTGTACAGTTGTTTTATCTGTATCCATATCTATATGTAGTTTGTAACAGAATTAAGAATGTAAAAGTTTTACACATATGTATTTCATTGCTCTTTATTAGCACAACTGATTCTTATGTGCCAAGATTTTGTCAGGAAAAGATTTGGAACAGTTCCTTCACATTGTTTTTGGAGGGCTGACATGTTATAAAAAGGTAATTTTTAAAATGCTCTTTATAACCTGCTGAATCAACCACTGACTCTGGCAGTTTGCAATAATAAAAAAACACTGTGCGTACAGTAATAAAGAACATAAAGAATTAAAGTAAAAGTCAGGTTATGTTTAAAATCTAGCACAGCTGTCACTTATCAATATAATCCAAATAGGAATAATCCTATGAAATCCTGAACCTGCAATCATTCACTCGTCGAAAACACTGGCTCCCAGCTCAAAGGCGTTTGGCTTAGCTTGGAATTTCCTACCTTCTAGAAATTGTTTTTTGACTGCCAGCCACACTAAGAGAGCGATGCAGCCAGAAATCACTGCCACAGCACTGATCAAAGCAACAACTGTTCCTTTTCTTCCAGAACAAGAAAAGCCCATCTTGGAAATGATCATATATTTGATGTGCAAAAGTTTCTTGGCATCTGTGTTTCAACAATGACACCTTCTTTTCCAATGGAAGGCAAGAAAATCAATGGAAGTCGAAAAGAATTCTGAAGAATTTTATTCCAGCAAGAAACCCTGGTTGATGAAACCAGGATCCAAAACAAATTCAACAGGGTATGGTCCAAGTGAGCATTTTCTTGATCAAAACTCTTCTTTAAAATCTACAATTCTTTTCGTGGTTATTCGAACAATGGTAATGGTAGAGCTTTCTCTTGAACAAATTTCTTCTGCTGTCATACTATTCCCATGTTACTTCACTATGCAGTTTGTCCATTCTTTCTTGAAGAATTATAACATGGCTGAAAAATTTCAGATCATCTGGTATTGTCACCTCCCAAAAAATCTTGTAACAGATACTCAGTTTCTTGCAAAATAATTATAGGCTGTTGCGCAGGATTTAAAAATGAAGAACAGAACAGGTTCTCACAAGGAAACTCCAAACAACAATGACTTCTCTACTCTGTGGCTCACGAAGAACTCTGCACAAAACCTCTCTGGTTATGCCTATTATAGATGGAATTTGGGTCCCTCCTTCATTCCGTGTCAATCAACTCAACAAGTGCTTTGAGTTTAAAGTCCATCTTTCCAACAACTGAAAATGGAAAGAAGGTTTTTCCTGTCAAATATTTGTGGCATTGGAGCCATAGATGTGAAAGTTAGGGTTGAGAGCTTTCTTCAGAAAGCTTTTCAAAACTCCATGGGCAAATATTGGGTCTCACCAAATCTTGCAGAAAGAAAATCTTGCATTTTTAAATTAGCAGGTTAGAAACCACGGTGATAAGATCACACCTTCATTTTTCCTATCCTTCCCAGATTTTTTTTAAAAAACATATTAATCTACAGCTATATGTATCCTGGGAAATGCAGAGATTGAACTTATCCCACTGTACATACAGGAGACTGGAGGCAAACCCTAGCAAATCTCTATAAAGCCTTTCAGAATCTGTCTGGCTTTGCATATCCCAAGGTGAAGATGGGCTTACAATTGATATACTGGGCCAACTCCTGAGTCTTCTCTCATTGTTGTCAAGTTAGAACCATGGCAACCAGCTGAAGCTGATCCAGGTAGCAAAATTACAAGAGCATCATGGAGGAGGAAGTGTTTTAGGGCACAGCCAGGTGACAATATTAAATTGCTATCCTCCAATCGATGAGCCGGCAGAAAAGTATGCCAGCATACACTGTGCTGCCCTTATTTGATGCTAATCCCTATTCTGACACAGAAATGAGGCCAGTGACTGGTGCCTATCTTTGTAAATTTAATATGGGACAAGTTAAGCAATTGATGGTTCTCTTTGGCATTATTCCTCCCACCAAGCATCACATGCCAGCATAAGAAAACACCCCTTTTCTTAATATCGAGTGTGAGGTTAGGTGATCATAAAAGAGTAGAGTAGATTAACTCTACTTTGCTGGCAGAGAAGTGCTCCATGCCTATGATCTATTATGCTGTTTCTGAAATCAGGTCTAGCATCCTGTGCTGTGATTAGAATGCAATAACTCACTGCTCATTCCAGAAATTTGATCCTGACAAGGGTCAGAGTTGACTCAGCTTTCCATCCTTCCAAGGTTGGTAAAATGACAATCCAGATTGTTGGGGGCAATATGCTGAGTCTGTAAACCTCTTAGAGAGGGCTGTAAAGGCACTGTGAAGCGGTGTATAAGTCTAAGTGCTGTTGTTATAGGAGCAGTAAATTTGTAGCCCAGCTATCAGCTGCAAGCACAGAGAGGAGTTGCTTAAAAAAGGAGCATCTTGAAAGATCCCACAAATTTCATCTGCTGCATTGACTATATGCCAGCAAGTTGGTGTCAACTGTTAAAGATCACAAAGTTTCCTCAGTTTCTCCTTTTGTAAGTTCCTGGCTGCTTCAGAGAGAGCTAAATTCTATGACACTTATTTTGAAGTGGTTTGAAAAGAGACATGATCCATTATTAAATCCACAGCACTACAGTTACATCCAAGAAGATCAGAACAGGTTTTGTTCTGCTATAGATACGCAACATGTTCTGTGAAGTAGATTCTGTAATTATTTTATTTTCCCCTCCCAAAATGTGTTAGCCACTGTATAGGAATTGTTTTCAGGGTGTTAAGTAAATAATAAGAAACATAGCAAAATTATGAATAAAAGAGCAGCTAAAGCCAGAAAACTGACTTAAAACAGCACAAGCAGCACAATGTAAAGTCTGGAGAATCAATATGCATTGCACAGCAGTTGGGTCAGAACTGAAAAGGACCACTCCTGGCCCACTTCAACATTTAAGTTGGGTTTCTATGTATGACCACAAAACTCAGGTAGAAATATAAAAGAGGCCAGAGGTGGTATTCAGCAGGTTCTGACCAGTTCTGGAGAACCGGTAGCAGAAATTTTGAGTAGTTCAGAGAACTGACCAATACCACCTCTGACTGGAGATTTTATAATATCCTTCCCTTGCCATGCCCACCAAGCCACGCCCACAGAACTGGTAATAAAAAAAAATTGAATCCCACCACTGAAAAAGGCATCAGATACCAGTATCTACACTTGAACTAGACAGAGAACTGAGAGCCTGTCAAGCCCGAAATTGACATATGTGTAGCCATTTTAGTTAGGCTTAATATATATTCTTTTCCTTACTTTCTCTGTGTCAGTCATGGGGGAAGGGTTTTGGGCTCACCACATTCCTAAGAGGGGGAGGAGTGGAGATAAAGAGAGTGTTTTGGCTAAATGATCTTCCTTCCCGTGGGAAATGGGAGAGAGCTGTCTTTGCTTGGGCCCCTTGAGGTGGAGATTTATGACATCGAGCAACGTTGAATTATTTCTATTGGAGAATGTGACTTTTGGGGGTTGTTTCTAACTTGTAATATTGTGGGGTAATTCCGGGTTGTGTCAGATCTGGAATTACCATGGACTTTGCCAATTTGATGCTTTCCTAAATAAAAGAAATTTCTTTTGAAGATGGACTTTGTTCTTTTCTTTTTAAATGGATTTCATCACTTGGAAACCTGAAATTATTCTGGACATTAAACCTGACAGAGCCATGGAACCAGTTTGGTTCATGCTTGGTGTGATCATCTCGTCCAGCAATAATTTCTCAATAAGTATCTTATTTCTTCCTTCCTGAACATTTCTGTACTATTTTCCAGATCATTACTGATCTGACCACACTTCTGTTGTATGGCCAGATTTGTTTTCAATTTACAGTCCAGTGGTTTTCCTGACACAATTTTATCCTAAGATTAAAGATTTTCCATCTGGTTATCATAATCATCGCACTATCTTCATCATCATCACACTACCATACCATCCTCTCTTTAGTCCAGAACAACTTTGCTGTAGCATAGTAAACTCTTCTCTTCATCCTGTAACATGAAAAATATGACTCATAATGATGGAGAGGGGGCAGAGAGAGACTATTAAATGAAAATCCTGGCTCCCTTCTTAAAACTCAGAAGGTCTTCTTAGGAGAAACAATTCAGAAGGAGCCAGTTTGGTTAAGGTGCCAGGAGATTTGAGTTCTAGTGCTGCCTTAGGCAAGAAACCCAGCTGGGTAATTTTGGACCTGTCACTTTCTTTCTCAGCCCAACCCACCTCACAGGGTGGTTGTTGTGGTGAAAATAGGAGGAGGAAGGAATATTAGGTATGTTTGCCACCTTGAGCTATTGATAAAAAAAAACAATAAAGGTGGGGTATAAGTAAATTAGTCTGAAAAACACAGCTTTTACTTGATAACACTTCAGGAAGCTATGGGGTTGCCCAGCAGGGACAATGAAATACCTTTCATTGCTTCCATTTCCTCCCTCTACTCTAAATTGTGGATGTAGGTACCAAGCAGGGCTTTTGAACAAAGAACAAGTCGATTATTTTCGTGCCAATAAAGCTAAGGTCTAATGCAAACAGCAGATCATTGTTGGAGACCACATTAATATCTATTACAAATCCAGTAATTAGTCCTGCGCCTGAATGACCCAGTCTTCTTTGCTCTTTTAATATTGCCGTTATTCTAATGATTCGGTAATCGTGTGTTTTGCTAACGCACACAAGTGAAAGGCGGGAGGTGCAAACTGCAACACCTTCCCCCCTCCCCTGTGCTGTCACCTAGCCCCTTAATTTATACCAAAAATGTATCTGCATCTGGTGAGGAGTGACATCATTTCACCCAATCAAACGGAATGGAAAAGAAGCTTGATCCGTGATTCATGGGCTGCAGGGGTGGCTCCTGAGCAGGTTGGTTTTAATTTATTTTCTTAGTCCTCCATGCATCAGCACTGTCAGGCATTCAAAAGCTCCCTTATGCTGCCATCTTCTGGCAATCCTATTGGGATGGGACAAACTCTACCAGTTCTACTGTATTTTGTTCTTTCTAAAATCACTTTAAACCCCATTTCTTCTCGAGCTCCAAAGCAAAGAGTTCTGCCAAAGGATTAACCTTTGTTGTGTTTCTTCCTAATTGCCCGATAGGAATGGCTGCAAATGATCCCAGATCTGCAATAAAATTCTCCAGGCGGAGTCCAGATTCCGTTCTTGGAAACTCTCCAAAAGAACCCTATCCTTGAACCCCATTGCAACCATTTAAAGCGTCTGGGGAAAAACAAAGTTGGGTTTCCTTGACAAACAGATGACAGATGTTTTCTTTCACATAAGGTTGGATCACTTCCTCCAAATCATATTTGAAACATATAAATGAGAAATAAATGAGAAATATTAACATTATCGGATCAGGTCCCTACTATTTGACATATCTCTCATGAATGACCCCTCGTTCAGCTGAAAAACAGGTAGCGGCACTTAGTCTGCGCTGCAAACATACAGGCAGTCCTGGACGTATCACCACAGCTGAGCCCAAAATTTCCATTGCTAAGCAAGACTATTGTTAAATGAGATTTGTCCCATTGTACGTCTTTCTGTTGTGGTTAGCAGGCAGCAGGTGCGGATGGCTGAGGAGAGCGAGGACTC